AGACTGGAGGCGTGCGCCATGCGCAGCTCGCCAGCGCGGCTCCGCTGCGCTGGCGATCCTCCCGCTGCCGCAATCCTGCTGCCCCTCGTTCTGCTCCAACAACGCTTGCCGCTGCCGCTTGCAGTCGCGTACTTATGCTGCTTGGCCATGCTGCTGACTGATGCTGCTACGTGGGGCCTGCTGCTGCCGGCTGCTTGGGAACTGCAGCTACTCTCGGATTCGCCGCAGAGCAGCCAGGCTCGCCCAAACAACATCAGGGCTCGCCTCAGAGCTTCTTTGGTCCAGGTTCACAGCAGGAGTTCCGGGCTCGCCGCAGGCCTTTTGGACTTGCCCCAAGATCATGTATGGAGCCCCTACGGCGGTCTGACCGTCTGGCTTGATCACCGAACTTCAGATTTCTGGTCTGAGTGGGGACCTACGGGCTCGGCCTTCGATCCTTCGGGCGTGGGCCGCTTGGGTCGCCTCGGGCGCCTTCTCGGAGGTATATTGCAACACCTGCGGCGCTGTGAAAGCCGCCCTGGGCCGTCAGGGGCCTGCCTCGGATGGGGCGCCCGCTGCTGCTGGGCTCGCGCTTCGCACGCACTGGTGACGGCACCGTGCGCGGTGATGACGTCGGGCTCTAGCTTTGCCTTCCGAAGCTCGCTGAGCAGCGCCACAGCCCGCTGCCACTGCTCACCCTTCTCGCATGCGCTGATCCCAGCGTTGTAACTGACTAGGGCGAACCCATGGACTTCGTCCACGACCAGCAGGTCCCCCTGGCGTGCCTCCATGTTGGGCCCCCGCCCAGGAAAAAGTCACCCCGAAGCCTTCGGTGACTTTTCCGGCCGCCTTTCCGAAGTTGGAAGACGGGCGCTTCCTCCTCCTCGTCCGCCTTGCGCTCCACGTCCGCCTGGACGGTCTTCGGAGCATCACAAAGTCTGTGATGCTCCGAAGACTGTCCAAACCACAGACACCACCATGGCCGTCTGTGACACAGACGGCCATGGTGGGTCTGCGGTGTGCCTCTCGCCGCTTGTCTGCTCCCCTTGGTTTGAACAATTTTGAAAGCATCTGGGGCCTAGAAAAAAGTCACCCCGAGGGCTCTGATGACTTTTTCCCGGTTGCCTTTTCGAAGCCTGATGGCGGGCGCTACCTTCTCCTTGGGAACTGTGTGGGGGCCTCTTGGGGTTTCTTTTCGGCGTCCTGGGGGCCTCTTGGGGCCCCCTTGGACCGTCTTGCGGCCTCCTGGGGGCCTCTTGGGGCCCTCTTAGGCCGTCTTGGGTTCCTTTCGGGGCCGTCTGGGGCCGTCGTTTTTTATGTGTTATTTGTTCTTCCCTCCCCGCCACCGCCCGCGGGCTCGAGGGGGAGCGTCAGGGGGACACTAGCTTCATCCCACACCCTCCCTGCCTCCCTCGTTTTCCTCCATCCCCTAAATCCGCGGCCCGCGCGGCCCGCCAGCTTGGGTGCGAGAACCGCTAGGCGGTGGCGCGAGAGGCCGTCTGGGGCCGTCTTGGGCGCCTGTGAGGCCGTCTTGAGACCGTCTGGAGGCCCTCTTGGGCCATCTTTAGCCGCTCTTGGGGATGTCTTGGGTGCTTCTTGGGCTGTCATGGGCGCCACAGGAGCCGTCCAGGGGCCGTCTGGGGCCATCATGGAGGCCTGCTGGGGCCCTCCTGTGGCGTCTTGGGACGATTTTGAGGGCCTGCATTGTCGCCTGGGACGCTTTACAAACGAAAAACACGGGCGTCTTCTGGAAGCCCACTTGGAGCATTTTGGGGGCCTGGGACGTCTTGGGGCACTGTTGGAGGCCTCCCGGGGCGTCTCGGAGCGCTCTTGGGCCATCTTGGAAGCGCACCGGGGCCTGCTGGGCCTCGCTGGGGCCGCCGGAGCGCCGAAAATCCGTATCGGACGCCCGCCCTTTTCGCATGCACTTGTCCCTGCAATGTAGTAGAGACTAGTTCTGCCCAGTGGCCTACCAGCTACGAAATCTGTCCAAGATGGCACGTGACTGTGAACAGACTGCCGAAAAGCTACTCGGCACATGCTACTGCGTGCTGCTCTTTGCTCCGCTGTTGTGTGCTGTTGGTAGTATTTTCCGTAGCTGCGTTGTGGCTGCAAGATGCTGCTGATGGGCACGTCTGCTTGGTGTTTGCTGTTGACCGCTGCCTACTACTTCTGCTGCTGCTGCTGTTGCTTGCTGTTGCTGTGCGCTGCTGCTGTTGCTGTCTGTTTCGTGCTTCGTGCTGCTGCCGTTCTGGTCATGGGGGCGTTTCGGACCGCCCCAGGATTATCTTGAGCCACCTCGAGGTCGTCTTCGGGCCAAGACTGAAAATTCAGAGGCAACAGTGGGCGTTATTCCAAGGATGTTGCATGGTGGATGTGGCCGCCCGAGGAGGGCGGAGGATACGCGCGGGCTGCGTAGGCTCGGGAGAAATTCGAAGGTATTGCGGAGCATGCCCCCAATGGCCGGCCGATCTGGAGCACTGTCAGAGAGAACTCCCAGACGAGTCGCCCATTCAGGCTGGAGTCGATCCAAGAAAGTAACAGGCGATTGAACGCCTTCTTTTCCTGGGTGGCCGGCGCGGTCCCAGAGTTCTCTGAGGAATCTTACCTCGGACGCGAGGCATCTTCGGGGCCTCTTTGGATCTGAGTTGGGCCTCGTGGGGGCCTCATCGGGCTTCTGGGGGGCCTCTTGGAGGCCTGCCGACGTTTTCTCGGATGGAGCGGAGCGCGCGAAATATCAGTTCGAGTTCCCCCTCTTGGGGCGGGGCCTTTTGGGCCGTCTGGGGCCCTTGCGGGACCTCTTGGGCGATCCTGGGGGTATCTCGGGGGCCTCTGCGGCCGTCTTGCATCGTCGAGAATCCGAAAAGGCGAAAACGCTGAAACCCCTCAAACACATCGGGAGAATCAGTGATTTTGGTCCAGCGGGGCCCTTCTTGAGGGCTTTTGAAGCCTTCTTGGGCCGTCTTGCGGACTTCTGGTGCCATCTGAAAGCCAGATTAGCGACCTCCTGGACCGCCTGGAAGCGTGTCATGCCATCTTGGACCGTCATGGGGCCCTGTTGGGCTGTCTTAGAGCTCGCAGGGGGGGAGCCTAGAGCACGCTGGGGCCGGCCGGGGCCTGTTGTGAGCCTTGTGAAACATTTTCCTTCTGGCACGCGGTTCCCGTGGCGTCGAAGGATAGACCACTGCTGGCCAGTGGCTTACGGGCCACAAAAATTGTCCCTGATAGCACGCTGGGCCAAGACAGAGATGTTGCCGAAAGGCTTTCGTGACGACGTTGGGCCCGAACTTCGCCTCCGCAGTTGCCGCCTACAGCTGCAAGGTGCTGTTGTCTGTGGCCCGGTGGTGGCTTTGCTCACTTTTGCAGTGCGCTGCCGTTGTTGGCTGCGGTCTGCTGCTAGTCCCTATTGCTCCTTGAAGATTTTCATGAGGAAAAAAGGTACGCGAAGATTAATGACCGCACCGCGGTATCGACCACAATGCGAAACAAATGTCGCCAGGCAAACCGGGAACGCCACAAAAGCCAACCTGCAGCAGGCAAGCTTGGGCACCGAACCGCGGCTTGAAAGAACAAATTCGATTGACCTGCAAGCCGGAATCCCCCGAGGCCCAGCCGGCAACGAGGAGTGCACTGCCTCCAGGTCGTCCCAAGAGCGCGCCATGCCGAACTGGTCGTCCAAGTGTGAGAAGTGCAGCGCGGAGGACACGGCACGGTCAACCGACAGGCGCCATTTGCTTGACGTGGGGTTGCACAACAAACAAACCAGAGGGCAGCCTTGGGGCACGCCACCAAGTCCCTCTCCATGGAGCCATACATCCGAGGGTCGGTCGTCGACGGGCATGCGAGAAGGTCGTTCGCAATTGGACAGCACGCGTGTGCAACTCGATGAATGAAAGTGCGCGGCTACACTATGCGAGCTCGGCAAATCCAGCCCGTCGAAACACTCACTTTTCCAGGTCCATCGAGCTGACGCACCAAGGAGGCGCGCCCACCAAACGAGCTTGAGCAAGGAGAGCCTGCATGTACCAGACAGGGCAGCTGTGGCCCCGCACGTCTCCCGCGCGCCCCGTGGGCTTCTGGAGCACGAACCACCTCGTGAAAGCATCGGCGTGACGCTTAGCCCACAAGCGGTAAATAATAGGCATCACCGTGAAGGGCGTCGATCGTCTGAGGGAGAATCAAGCAAATCACTCGGGAATCAAGGTGACTCGCGCGCGCGCCCAACACTTGGGGAGCTGTCCGTCGTCTGCGGCGTTCAGCAGAAGAGCGGGCTCGTCGATAGAATGGGAGCGCACGTTCTCGATCTACTCAGCCTGATGCTCCTCTATGCCGCAAGCTCCATAGCGCAAGCATTCCAGGATGTGCTCTGCCTCGCAGACGTGCCCAAGAACAGCCGGATGAACAATCATACCCAAAACACCGCATCGCAAACGAGGGGGAGGGCGTCGCTTTGCCTGCTGAACATGAACATGATGATGTTGCCGTAGCCAACGGCGCACTGCAGGCGGCCAGCGTTTCAACCGAAGAACTGCGCCCAACGCGAGCGGCACCAGTCCCAGATCTCGTCGTAGACCGGCCAACGCCTGTGACCTTCCAATCGCGAGGGGCGGCTGAAGAAGAAGAATTCGACAGTTCCCATCGATGGGGCAAGGAGCAATCGCCTCGCACCTTCAGCGCTGCATTCTGCGCAAGATCGGAACAAGGCTCCAGGGGCTCATGATGATGATGATCACGATATGAAAACCAACGGAGGGCTCCCCAGTGCAACTCCGCACGGTCCGCAGACCAAAGCAAAGCACCAGAATGGAAAGGGCCCACTTGTCAGCAGCTTCCAGCGGGCCCAGTTGACTGGCCCACGCGGCATGCACTTATAGCTGTTAAATACGTGAGCAGCCCACAGAGGACGAGCACGGCCGTCAGGATCGAGGCGGTCCCAGAACGGCTCGAAGGTCGCGCCTTTCCTGGTCAGGTGCTCGACGATCTGGGCCCGGAGGGCACCCGGACAGGTCGTCGATTTGCCGCCTCGCTTGAACCAGCGGGCGAGGCCGCGGAAAGCGCAGGTGCTATCTTCATCCACCTTTCGCACATCAAGTCCCGGAATATCGAAGACATCTTCGGCGAGCTGCGGCTGGGGTTGCTGCCTCGGCAACCTGGGCCCGCTCGGCCGCGTTGACCTCGGGACCCGGAGGTCGGCGCTGCGGCTGGCACGTCGGCGCGCCCCACCAGAGCTCGCTTTCCCGGAGGTTCCGGAACTGTTTCTGCTTGGAGGGGGGCCCGATAGGGCTCGAAGTTGAGGAAGACCACCTCGCCGCCTGCCGCTGGCAATGCGGCGGCGCACCGTGCTCACGTCGATGGCTGGCCAGCCGCTCTGCCCGAGGCAATCCACGAACTGCTGAATCGACAGAGACCGCGGGAAGCCAAAAACCCGCCACGCAGCACCTCCATCTGGACTGCGCATGCCAACCGAACCTGTGCTCGAAAGAACGAGCCCCAACCAAGTATCGGCCTGCTCGGCCTCAGCGCGGCCGCTCTTGCCCTGCTTCCTCTGCAACCAGCGCACGCTTCCCAGGGCAGTAGCGGCCGAAGGGTCTGCAGGCAGGAACCTCGCCAAGACTGCATTGGCTCCGCTGGCGCGATCCACAAGCGCCGCCTGCTCTACTGTTCACCTTCAGTATGGTCCCGTCCTCGGTGCGCTGAAGACGTCGACGACGTCGGCCTTGGGGACGCGAAACTGCCCCCCAACAGAGCAGCACGGCCTGGTTGACGTTGCTCGCGCGGTCGGCCCACTCCTTCTCAGACACGCGCGGCTCGAAGCAGCCCACGCGGATGCCCCGAAAAGCCTTCGAGGCTGGCAGGGGGACTCGCGCAGCCTGCACCATCCACTTGAGGGCGACTGCGGCTTTACCACTCTGGCACGCCCACGAGCTGCACACATTGGGGAGGCCCTTGGAGTCGAAAGAAGGAACGCACAGCGCGCTGGCACGGTCCACGCGGCGGTCCAAGATTATCGTGATGGCCGCCTCGGGGGGGTGGCAAACGGCTCAAGTCAATCCGGCACGCGGCGCACCACACCGAGAACAAGATGTTGCGCCGCCTGCACCTTGAGGAGATCATCCGCGTCGGCGACCAGAGCCCCATGCCAGCGTTCCGCGCGCAGCTCCGCGGGGACGAGGGTTGCTGCAGATTGTGCCTGGGCGAGCCGTGGCAGCCCGCTTGCGCGGGGCACGCGAGGCGCCTGTAGGCATCGCTTTGGCATTGGGCACTGGCTGAACCGCTGCCTCCGGCCGCCAGGCTGGCGGTCCATCGAACCTGCCGTCGCTGGCCGCCTCGCACGGCCTGGACGTCGCCCGCCTTTTCGGCCCTGGAGACGATGCGCTGGAGCGTGCCGAACAGCCCCTCGCTGCAGCGAGCCTTCCCATTAGCCTTGCGGCGCCGAGCGGCGGCTCCACCATTGGATGCGCTGCTGGAGGAAGGCGCGGCCGTCTGCGCCCCCGCACACGACGACATCGCGAACTTGGAGAGGAGCTCCGGCAAGCCCTGGAGCAATGCTCGCCCCTGCTGGTTGCGCGCACGGGTCTTCGGGCCTCCACCGCCACGCATGGCGGACCCAATGCCTCTTCCGTACCTGGGAACAGGATCAGACTGGCCGCATTCATCACCGTGTAGTCGACGGCAATACCAAAGAAGCAAAGAGGCACACCATCCAAGAGAGGAAGCAGTCGACCTGGATGAAATACACCACCCACATGAAGACACGCACATATACGCACACACACACATCATGTGGAACAGGCCGCACAACAAAACGACCTGGATGAAGAAAAACAGCGCCAAGACGAAGACTCCCACGCACACAATACTGAAGATGCCGTGGAAGGAACTGGCCCGGATGAAGAATATCAACCAAATAGAGAAGGAGCCGACCCGGATAGATGAAGCAATCCGCCCAGATGTGAGCAACCCGTGCAGCGTGCCGCACGCGCCTCAAAATGGGACCACCTGCAGGATACGACATCGACGGATTTGTAGTGGTGGCACTGGCCGCACAGGTCTTGACGTGCGAGCCCGGTGCGATCCGGCCGAAGCTGCTGCTCCTGCACCAGACGCATGCGCGAGGTGGCACGAGCCAGTCTGTGGTATCCATGGCGCAGCTGGCAGCGGAAGGGAATGATGAACCGCCTCCGAAACCAGAGGGATCCAGCACCAGGAAGCAGAAGACAACCAGGTCGCCGAAGATAGCCTCGTTCGCAAAGCTCCGGACGACCTCCGTGGACATCTCGCCCTCGAGGCGCACGGCAGCGTGTAGGTCCTGCCCGGCGCGCGCTTAAGACGGACCGCCTCGCGCGGATTAGGACGTAGTGATAGAAAGACGAATCATATTGTGGAGCAGGCTGACGGCTCGACCTACTGTTCCAAACCTGCCACATGCGCACGAACTCCAGGCACATGACAAGTATTCCCAAGAGAACTGGATAGGAAAACATGCTAGCCATCAAGCTTCCCCTCAAGATTGACGGGCTCCTAATAATTTACAAGTTGTAAGTTGTAAGGCCCTTGTCGGCCGCTGCATTGAGGCACTCCGAGGCCACGTTGGAGCCCGTCTCGACGCTGTCGGCGCAGGGCAACAGCAGCATGAACCTCAACAGCCCAGCATGCGCTAAAGCTTCAAACATGACTTAGCGAATGATTCGACACTTTTGACGCATCCACATCGCGGCCAAAAATGCTAGGATGAGGTTTGCTTTCCTGTTTGTCTGCTCCACTGCTGCCCTGCTTGCGTGGTTGCTAACGTGGTGACCTGCGAGCGTTTGAGCCAGACCGTCTGTTTCTGTTTGAACTGATTCAATGCTTGCCCGTCCGCTCGCTGCTGGTTTCTGCTGATTGGTGCTGCTAGCTGTACCTGTCTATCTACATGTTGTTCATCCGCGCTGCTCGGGGCGGCTTGGCGCTGCCACGTACTGCTGCTGGTTGGTGATGATTGGCGCTGATTGTTGCTGACTGATGCTGCGTACCAGTTACTGCGTGCAGCTGCTCGCTGCCGCTGCTGCGTGCCGCTGGTAATGCTTGCCGCTGCTGCTTGCTGCTGCTTCTTGCCAATGCTGCTTGTGGCCACAGCGTGCTGCTGTTACTCATTGCAGTTGCTGTCTACCGCCGCTGCTACTGATGCTGTTTACTTCATGCTGCTGGGTTTCGCTGTCGCTGCTTGATGCTGCAAGGTTCCGCTTCTCGCTATCTTTGCGTGCTGACGCAATCTGCAGCTCATGGGAGAATGGAGGGGCAAGGAACGAGGAGTCAGGATCGAAGAGGGGGGAGGGAGAATCGAGGAGCGATCAGCAAGGAGCGACGAGCAAGCAGCGAGGAGAAAGGAGTGAGAAAAGAGAAGCGAAGGCCGAGGAGACATGGGCGAGAAGGGATGAGGGAGAGCCGAGGGAGGAGGGGGGAGAGAGGCGCGAGCAGCTGAGAGGGAGGAGAGAGGGGACATGAGAGGGGATCGAGACTGAGTAAGAAGAGCAAGGAGCGAGGGGAGGGGCGAGGAGTGAGGAGCAGTGGACGAGGAGCGACGAGCGTGGACCGAGGATCGAGGAGGGCCGGCTGAGGGAGCGGCCAGCACACGAACCTTCCAGTGGCCTCGGGTCGCGTGTGGCCGAACGCTTGGTCTTCGCGTGTGTCGCTCATGGGACCCTCTCGAGCCAAATTTAGAGCGTTCTTGGCTCATTACTTGGGCTTCTTGAGCTTCATTGGTACCCTCCCGGGACTCGTGGGGCCATCTGGGCGTGCCTTGGGGCCTCGGGGTGATGTTTTGGGGTGGCTCGGAGGCGGTTAGGGTACGCCTTGGGGCCATCTTGGAGCGGTTTAGGTCATCTTGGAGCTGTCTTGGGGCCATCCTGGAGGCTGGCCAGACCCATCTTGGGCTCTTGATTTCGTCTTGGGCCATTTGGAGCCCTCTCTTGGAACCCTCTGCGCCCTCCTTCCAGCCATTTGGAGCCGAAAAGCAGGGAGCACCAACGTTCTCACGATATTTCTTGTCGATGCTCGCCTCTGGGGGTCCTCGCGCGGACCCATCTTGGAGCTTCTTCGAGCCATCTTGCGCCTTCTTGGGGCGTCGCGGGCCATTGCGGGGCCCATGCGGGGGCCCTGTGAATTCTCCTAAGGCCTCCCACTAGATCATGCGGCAACTTGGAGGCTGAGAAACTCAGACCGGTCCTCAAGCCGTTCTGGCACGCGGGTCCATGCACCGTAAGAGGTAGCGCTGGGCTCCACTTGCGCTTCGCACATCTCGCTGAACAGCACCAAAGCCCACTGCCATTGCTTGTCCTTCTCGCACGCGCTGATCCCAGAGTTGTAGCTGATGATGATGATGATGATGATGATGATGATGGTGGTGTTGGTGCTGATGATGATGATGACGACGATGATGAAGAATAAGAAGAAGAAACGATGATGATGATGATTATGATGATGATGATGGTGGTGGTGATGATGGTGATGGTGATGGTGATGGTGATGGTGATGGTGATGGTGATGGTGATGGTGATGGTGATGGTGATGGTGATGGTGATGGTGATGGTGATGGTGATAATGATGATGATGATGATGATGATGATGATGATGATGATGATGATGATGATGATGAATGATGGTGGTGGTAATGGTGCTGGTGATGGTGATGGTGATAAATATCCGCCGGCCCCCTTGTGGGGCCACCAGGCTGTAGGCCGAAGCTTCGCAGTTTCCTGTACCAGTTGCAGCTTCCAGTTTCCACTATTACAGTTCTACTTCTTGCTGCTTACTGTTCCTTGTTGACGGACCGCGCGAGGGGGGGGAGGCCCAAACGGACAGGTTTAGCACGCCCTGAGCGTGTGCTCTGACTTGCTGGGGTGGGTAAAAATTGACACCCATCACGCAGATCGGCGGGGTCAGGGTCCAAAAACACACGGGGTTTGCTACATGTCTGACATTCGGTGGCACCCCTCGCGCAGGTCGGCGGGGTCAGGGTCCAAAAATACAAGGGACGTGCCACATTTCTAAAATGTGCTGGCACCCCTCACGCAGATCGGCGGGGTCAGGGTCCAAAAACACAGGGGACGTGCCACATTTCTAAAATGTGCTGGCACCCCTCACGCAGATCGGCGGGGTCAGGGTCCAAAAACACATGGGATTTGCCACATTTCTGGAATTCGATGACACCCCTCAGGGTCAGGGTCCAAAAACACAAGGGAGTTGCTACACTTCTGAAATTCGGCGGCACCCCTCATGCAGATCCGTAGGGTCAGGGTCCAAAAACACAGGGAATGTGCCACATGTCTGAAATTCGATTGCACCCCTCATGCAGATCGGCGGGGTCAGGGTCCGAAAACCCAGGGGATCCTCAACAGTTCTGAAAATCTGTGGCACCCCTCACGCGGATCGACAGGGTCAGGGTCCAAAAACACAAGGGAGTTGCTACACTTCTGAAATTCGGCGGCACCCCTCATGCAGATCCGTAGGGTCAGGGTCCAAAAACACAGGGAATGTGCCACATGTCTGAAATTCGATTGCACCCCTCATGCAGATCGGCGGGGTCAGGGTCCGAAAACCCAGGGGATCCTCAACAGTTCTGAAAATCTGTGGCACCCCTCACGCGGATCGACAGGGTCAGGGTCCGAAAACACATGGGATTTGCTACATTTCTGAAATTCGGCGGCACCCCTCATGCAGATCCGTAGGGTCAGGGTCAAAAAACACATGGGATGTGCCACATTTCTGAAAGTCGGTGGCACCCCTCACGCAGATCCGTAGGGTCAGGGTCGAAAAAAAACAGGTCCCGACACTGCTTCACGGCGGCGCCCAGACTTCATGATTTAGCTCTTGCATCTCCCATGATCCGAGACAGGGGGCCAGCCGGCGGCACGGGGCGAAGCCCTTGCGGATTATGATGATGATGGTGATGATGATAGTGATGATGATGATGATGATGATGATGATGATGATGATGATGATGATGATGATGATGATGATGATGATGATGATGATGATGATGATGATTGTGGTGATGGTGATGATGGTGATGGTGAAGAAGATGACGATGACGATGGCGGTAATACTGATGATGATGATGATGTTGAGGATGACGGCGGTGATGGCGATGATGTTGATGATGGTGAGGATGGTGATGGTGGTGATGGGGGTGGTGTATATATGATGATGATGGCGATGATGGCGATGACGATGATGATGATGATGAGAATAGGATGACGATGATGATGACGGTGATGATGAGGATGCTGATGATGATGATGCTGATGCTGATGCTGATGATGATTACCGATAGATCTGACCTGTAGACTCTCGTTGACGACCTTGCACTCGCACGCACGGGAGAGGTTCGCAACGAACACAACGCCATGCAAAACCTAAGCAATGCAAAACCTGAGCAAACAAGCTCGGTCGCGACACAACTTGGAAGAGACAACACAGGACGGAGCAGCAGACACCCGGAAGACAAGGCTTGGTCGCCACGCTGCACGGCACAACATCTGAGGGGCTGCTCCGCCACCAGTGCTGGAGCGGCCCCTTGGATTGCTGCCGCTTGCTGCCGTTCGCAGCAACGTGCTTTAAGTTGCTGCTGAGTGCTGCTGCATGGCACTGGTTTACCGCAAGCCAATGCTGCCCGCTGCGGCGTGCTGCTGCTGCTTGCTGTTGCTTGCTGTTGTTGTTTTCTGGTGCTGCGTGGTCCTGCTTGCTGCTGCCTCGTGTTTCGGCCGCCTGCTCCTGCAGCATGCTGCTGATGTTTGCTGGTGCCTCCATGCTGCTGTTTGTCAATAATGGCTGCTGCTGCTGTTTAGTGGCTCAGATTGCTGCGGCATGCTGGTGTTTGTCGATGCGTTTTACTAGTTATGCTTAAAAGCTGCTGGCTGGTGCTGGTGCTGCTGCTTGTTGGAAGCTTCCGAACCCGAGAGATCGGGAAACACGACCATGGCAATCGTCCATTGCATCTCCCGTCTCTCTCGGCCACGCTCGCCAACCTCGCTGGGAAGAGTGCCTCGCGCCTCACGCACTCAGCGATGCGAACTCCTGGCCTGAGCCAGGATACCACCGCTGGACGCGGATGGAGTGACACAGCGCAGGGCGGCGAGGTCTACGATACACGTGCAACCGATCACGATACACGACAAACTAAGTGCAGAGATGCATGCCACCGAATATGTTCGCAATATGTCTTGGGAATCGTTTGTCCGTCTGTGAGCTGCAGCCGGGAGACGGGGCCCCGACCTGCTCGGTGTATATGGTGTAGGGGCCGTTCCTGAACTTGAGGGGCCGAGCTCGAAGCGATGATGACGTTGGGCTTCAACCTGGCCTCCCACATTTCGCTGAGCAGCACCACCGCCCGCCGCCACTGCGCGCCCTTTCCGCACGCACTGATCCCAGCGCTGTAGCTGATAACGTTGGGCTCCAGCTGCGCCTCCCACATTTCGCTGAGCAGCGCCACAGCCCGCCGCCACGTCTCGCCTTTTCCGCACGCGCTGATCCCAGCGTTGTAGCTGACCAATACGTACAAGTGTGCCACATTCGCCCTCGCTCTACTGCGCTGGCATGGGAGCAGGGTAATGGCGCATCGATGCCAACAGTAGGTACTCCAGATTTCGTAATAAAAGGGAGGGGCTCTCATTTCGGGGGGGTCTCTTCCAAGCTATCTTGGAGGGCCTGGGGGGGTCTGGGGACGATGTTTTGGAGGGTTCTCCCACGAGGGGGGGTCTGAAATGGCTTGTCTTGGAGGGTCCAGACCCCCTCCCTTTTATAACGAAATCTGGAGTAGCCGAACAGGGCATAGCAATGGCGGAAACGATCACAGTTCGGGCATCTGGCTTCGGATTCGACAAAGCCAAGCAATGTAGAAGAGGAAATGCCGTCGAGGTTGGACTCGCTTCGCTTCGCTTCGCTTCGCCACATGACCTCGCTGAGGACAACGAAAGCACCCGCACGCCAGCGGAGGCCTGAGGGCGGAGGTGCAGGCAGCCGTTGAACACGTGCATGTGAGCACGCATACGTAGAAGAGAAAATATTGTTGAGGGTTAGACTAGCCAACTGACCTCGCTGAACTCAACGGAATCATCCGCACGCAAGCAGAGGCCTGAAGGTGGAGGGGCAAGCAGCCGTGCAGCACGTGCTTGACGCACGTGTGGACGCCCTCGCGGGCCGCAGCAGCGGAGCGGATGGGGGCGTGTGGCAGTAGTGGGCATGCAGTCTCTGGAGTCGGGGGAGGCGGTTTCCAGGTGCGATATTGGGCTCTTTTGCTGCCCTAGCCTGGGGCCTATCTGGGCTATGATGCTCGGAGCGTTCGGACCTCTATGGGGGCTCCGACGCTATGTCTCCAGGGGGTTGTCCCAACCATCCTGTGGTGTTGTGTCCTCGTTTTGAACAAACAGCGCCCCGCGTCTCCTCTCCTCCCCTTCTCCTCCTCCCCCTCTTCCTCGTCCTCCTCCGCCTCCTCCTCCCAATCCCGGCCTCTGCACTGGGCATGTCTTTGTTTCGGCACGCACACATACACACCGCACCGCTTTGTGGCCCCATAGGGAGCTCCACCGAAGGCCCCAATGACAGGATCCACATGCGCCTCCCCGCCCATCGCATGTCGATGCCGGGACACCCCTCACAGGTCCTGTGGCCCTATAGGTGGCTCCACCGAAGGCCCCGATTCCCCAGTTCATCGTGAGAAAGGCCAAAGCGAGAGCGTGATTCCTGAGTGTCGAGGGCGCGGCGTCCAAATAAATTGCGAAGAACTCCCACGCGAGAACGCGATTCCTGCATAAATTGTGAGGGCGTCCCGCGCGAGACCGCGATTTCTCAACAAATTGTGAGTAGGTATGAGGCGGGAGCCGCTGTTGTTGTAACTCGGGGGCAACGGTGCAGATTGGTGACACCCAGCTTCCCCATGTGAAAAAACGGGGTGCGAGCCCTGGGAGGGGCACTTTCATTGAAAGATGGAATGGCTACCCGAGGGGTGTATCAACAATAAAAATATTGACTGGAAAATTCAACACAACGAAACAACAGCAACAACAACAACGAACCACAACCACAACCACAACCACAACAACAACAACCATTTTAACCTCACGCGCGATGTTTCCACACGAAGCATGCGACCATCATGATAACTATCCACATCATGGGGGGCTATTGTTCTATAGCGGGGCCCGTTATTCCTATTCCCTGATATCCCGCCCAACGAAGTATTGCAAACACCTCCTCCGAGGAATTTCAACATATCCCGCCTCGAAAACACATGCCCGCGCCTTGCTGCGCCGATGCGACACCGCCAGTGGAACCCAGCGAAGGGTAAAGCACAAGGAACTATCGAACGACAGGATTGCCTTGGTGGGGATGGGGGCTGTCGGCGGTGAGACAAGGACCTGGCCCTGAATAGAGAGGGAGGACGTCTCGAGCAGGGCTGCTGTTGCTGGGAACGGCGCCAATGCTGAAGAGAGTAGGGCGCTAGTCCAGCGTAAAACAAAACGGAATCTCGAGCGGGAACGTTGGGTTGTTGGGACGGCGGCTTTCGGCGCCGAGGAGGAACACCGCCTTGAGTAAGAAATGACGAAACATCGAGCGGGAGCCGTGGTTTTGTCGGGACGGGGGCTGTCGGCGGCGAGGAGCACCTCCGCCCCTAGGAAAAAGAAACACAAACACGAGAGGGAGTGTTGTTCTTGCTGGGGGCGGCGCCAATTCAAAAGAGAATAGGGCGCCAGTCCAGCATAAAACGGAAGGAAATCTCGGACGGGAGCGCTGGTTTTGTCGGGGCGGCGGCTTTCGGCGGCGAGGAGGAGCACCGCCTTGAGTAAAAATGGGAGGATGCCTCGAGCGGGAGCGTTGTTTTTGTTGGGGGCGGCGCCGATGAGAGAAAGACTAGCACGCCAGTCCAAGGTAAAACGGGAGGAAACCTCGAGCGGGAGCGCTGGTTTTGTTAGGACGGCGGCTTTCGGCGGCGAGCAAAAACACCAACCCTGAGTAAAATTATAGCAAATCTCGAGCGGGAGCGTTGTTGTTGTTGGGGGGTCGTTTTTGGCGGTCCCCCAAGCCGCTCGAGCGTGAACCTCATTTCACATGGAAATGTAGCCGGCGCCCCGAAGAGAGAGCGCCAGAGCGCTTTTAGGAAGCCCAACAACGATAACGGTTCACGAGTTAACATTCAACTGCAAAAACAACAACGGCAACAACAATAACAACAATCATGTTAAGACCGTTCGCTCTTATATGCTCGCGCGTCATTCAATACGCAGTCCCAAACCCTGGACAACCGCCCTCTTCGTTTTCGATCGCACCCTCTTTGGGGGGCACATCCATTCCCTGCCACGCGTGGTTGGTGAACCCCTTGAAAACGAAGGGCAACAGATAACGCGGGAGAACGAGGACGAAGGGATTGGAGGAAGGGAGGGGAAGGGCAAGAAGGAGGGGAGACGACGATTTGCGCTACGAGTGGCGATGCAGCAGGCGCCACGGCTTGCGCTAGCCACTGTAACACAGGTTAACCATAAGTTTCGCCATGGGTCGCGCCATAAGCATCGCCACGCACCACCCCCTCGAAAAAACATATCGTGGATACCCCCACGGGGGGACGCACAGCTGCTAACTGGTGTCAGACACAAATTGTGGAACCCTGAAAAGAAGCGGAACGTTGGGAGAGCGGGGCGGAAAGATACTGAGAACTGCAACCGCGTCGAGAGGAGCGCGGGGATGTGGAGTGAATCGGGATGGAATGGACAAGAGTAGGGTCTCAGGAGGAGGAGCAGCAAGGAGTGGAGAAGAAGAACCGGGAGGAGTGCGGAGGAGCGGGGGGCGCACGGAGGAATCTGGAGGAGGGACTGGGAATAATTTGGGGGAAAGGCGGAATGCGAGCGGGAAGGGGTGGAGATTGTTGGGGTTCGATTGGCTGGCCTGGGGAGGAATGGGCGACATGCGAAGAACTGAGAAATAGCACAATGGAGTACGAACGAAATCAAGATGATGAAAAAGGGAAAAGGTAGAGATGACTGGGAAGGAACGTTGAAAAGTGGGGGCAAGTGATACGAGCGGAGACTGGTGCGGAAACAAGGCGCGGGGGGATTGGAAGGCACCCGAAAGCCTCCTATGACCTCTGGGGGGCCTCGGGATGGCCCCGATGACCACGAGGGGCAATTAATCCGTGGCCACAGAGGGCAGCGACGGGGCCGCTGAGGGCAGAAACGGGGCCACGAAGGGCAGAGAGGGGGCCCCGAAAGGGCGACAGCGGGGCCACGAAGGGCATGCATATGGGGCCACGCCGAGCGCGAACGAGCGAGGGCCACGAAGGGCATTCGTATATGGGGCCACAAAGGGCGACAACGGGGCCACTGAGGGCAGCAAAGGGGCCACGAAGGGCAGCGAGAGGGCCACGAAGGGCGACAGCGGGGCTACGAAGGACATGCGTATAGGGGCCACGACGGGCGACTGCGACCGGGGACCACGAAGGGCATATAGTGCGGGACCACAATGGGCAGCGACGGGGCCACCGAGGGCAGCAACGGGGCCGAGAAGGGCAGCGAGCGAAAGCGACCGCGGAACCAGTACGGGCAGCGAGGGGCATCGAAGGCGGGCGAAGGGCAGTGAGCGGCGACTGCAGTCCCTAACGGGCTGGTCGGGCGGGCAGACCCAGACGGGAGGGTCGAGCGGGCGGGTCGTTGAAGCGCAAATTCTGCTTGAACCGCCAGGCAATATGTAGCGGGAACGCGATTTCCGAGTGTCGAGGAACGGCATCTGAATAAATTGTGAGGAAGTATCAGGCGGGAGCCGCGATTCGGTGGTAAGTTGCGAGGAAGTCCCAAGCGAGGGCGCGATTCTTCAATACATTGTAAAGAAATATCAAGCGGGAGCTGCGATCCGGAGGTAAATTGTAAGGAAGTCCACAGCGAGAGTGCGATTCTACAAAAAAATGTGAGGAAGTATCGAACGGGAGCCGTTGTTTCCTACCTAGTCTCTGCCTAGAAGGGTTCTTACTCTCTTGGCTTAAAAAGGCCGGGCAATGGAAATCGCCCCGGGCGGTTCCCCCAGTCCCCTGGGAGCCAAGCAAAAGCAACAGCAAAGGTAAAAGCAAACGCGCGGTTCCCCCAGTTGCGCTCCCTGGGTGCCAAGCAAAAGCAAAAGCAAAGGCAAAAGTGAAGGCAAAAGCGAAGGCAAAGCAAAAGCATAGCACAGCATAGCATAGCATAGCATAGCATAGCGCAGCGTAGCATAGTGCAGCATAACCTAGCATAGCATGGCATAGCATAGCATAGCCTAGCCTAGCCCAGCATAGCATTGCGCAGCATAGCATAGCATAACATAGCAGAGCAGAGCAGAGCAGAGCATAGCATAGCACTAGCGCAGCACAGCATCCACTATTGCTGCCGCTCCTACCAATGTTGTTTTCCTAGAGGCTCCAACTCTTAGGTAGGGTCGCACTGGGATAACTGTTGTAAACCACGGGCCAACGACACAGTTTGACCCTCAAGACTTTCCCTGATAAAAAACTGGGTGCAAGCCCCGG